CGGCGGAGGGCGAGGCGGTGCTGATGGAGGAGGACCTGATCCAGCAGAGCCTGGCCGACTACGACGCCGGCCGCTACAGCCCACGCCTGCTCTCGGCCCACGAGCTGCCGCTGGACGCGCACGTGCTCGACCCCCACGAGGACCTGCAGCGCCTGCAGCTCTCCCGCCAGCAGCTGCAGGCCACAGGTGGGGACCGGGCCGCGGGGGCGGGGGACACGGGGGTGGGGGGGAGGGGAGCCCGCGGCTGACCCCTGGTCCCCACAGGCGACGCCAGCGAGAGCGCCGAGGACATCTTCTTCCGGCGCGCGCGCGAGGGCATGGGCCAGGACGAGGCGCAGTTCAGCGTGGAGATGCCGCTGGGCGGCCGCGCCTACCTGTGGGCCGACAAGTACCGGCCGCGCAAGCCGCGCTTCTTCAACCGCGTGCACACGGGCTTCGAGTGGAACAAGTACAACCAGACGCACTACGACTTCGACAACCCGCCGCCCAAGATCGTGCAGGGCTACAAGTTCAACATCTTCTACCCCGACCTCATCCGCAAGCGCGCCACGCCCGAGTACTTCCTGGAGGCCTGCGCCGACAACCGCGACTTCGCCATCCTGCGCTTCCACGCGGGGCCGCCCTACGAGGACATCGCCTTCAAGATCGTCAGCCGCGAGTGGGAGTACTCGCACCGCCACGGCTTCCGCTGCCAGTTCGCCAACGGCATCTTCCAGCTCTGGTTCCACTTCAAGCGCTACCGCTACCGCCGGTGACGGCCGTGCCGCGGGGCCGGCCTGGGCGGCGCCGGGGGGCAGGGGGGGCCGGGGCCAGGCTCCCCCGCAGCACCGTCCGGGCGCCCGCCCGTCACCAACACTGCGGGCCGCGGCCCCCGTCCCCGCCCGTCCGGGAAGGGTTGTGACTGTTTCTCTCGACAGACTGCTGGGGGGGCACCCCGTTCCGTCCCCACGGACTTGTTCTTCCGGGGACCCCATGTGGTTTTGATACGTTTAATAGAAAGCTTATTCTAGACCGGCTCCGTGTCTGAGTCACAGCTGAGGCCGCCGTGGGCGCAGACACCACACCCAGGACTGGGTCTGCTCCGCCCCCCGAACCCAAGACGCCAACGTCTGGGAACGTGGCTGTCACCACCGTAGGTCCTGGTTTGCACCGGGGGCCACCGAGGACGCCCCTGCAGCGCAGCAACACTCACCCTTCCGGCCCCGGGGACCGTGGGGCAGCACCCATGGGCACTCGACCCCAAAGGCCCCGCCGGGCTGGGTTGGGAGAGCCGGGAGCATTTGAGCTTAGGAGTCACTTGAGTGCGTGCTCAGAGCACAGCGTGCGGGCCTCAGTTTCTCTGCCTGGGCCAGAAGGGGGGTCTCCCTCCCACCTTCGCGGTGGCATCTCCAGCCTGCTGGATCTCGTGTGTGCACAGTCCAGCAGGGCCCGGCCTCGGGAGACCCTGAGGGGCCCAGACGGGCGAGCAGGCCCAGCCCGGGGAACCGGACCCTGGGCACTGGGGAGCCGAAGCCACGAGTGAGCCTGGCGAGGACGCAGACCGTCCCCACGGGTGCCCTGATGTCCCAGAAACTGCAGCTCCCGATCCAGCCTTTCCTTCCTTTGGCTGAGTCCAGAGCTAAGAATAGGCACCCCCAGCCTGGCCCCCGCCGCGGCGGAAGCCACAGCCACAGGGGGTACATCCTGAGCCTGGCCTCCCTCATCCACCCCAGCTGCAGCCTGCTCCCGGCCTTGAGCCGTGTGTGCGGCCAGGAGCCACGGGTGGTCTTGGCTTCACATCTCTGCCTCAGTTTCCCCATGCATACCAAGCTCTGTCGCCTCCATTGCAGAAGGGACACAGCACAGCTGCGTGTCCTTTGACCTTTGCCTGGTCTAGACCAGACATGTCCAGAGGAAAAGGGGGCAGCCGCTACCCCATGCCCACCCCCCTGCCCACCCCCGTCCCCATCGGGCGCGGCCTCAGCCTCGAGCACAGCTCCGCAGGGCATCACACTCCCTCCCACGGCTCCCGCCAGACCGGAGGACGCCCCAGGCCCGGCCCCCAGATCCAGGCCTCGCACCTCCCCACAGCGGTGATTCCCACCACACTGGGGAGCTGGGGTCCTTGCCCTGACGTAGAAACTGGGGTGGCAAAGGCAGGTCCAGCTGGAGCGAACTCCAGAAGGAGCGACAGGGACCTTGGGGCCACCGGAGCGAGGCGGGCCAGAGTTCAGGGCTGAAGAGACATCAGCCAGGGGGCCCCCCAGGAGTGAGGCCGGAAGGGGGGGCGGGCCCACAGGGAGGGGGCTTCCTGCTGCTGACAGGCGTCTGGTTGACCCTGGACAGAGTGGAACTGGGTGGGTTGGGGTCACGGCCAGGCCAGGCATCCTGTTCCCCACCAGGCTCTGTCCTGCTCAAGTGTGTGAACCGAGGCAGAGGCCCAAGGTCGCCTCCTGGCCCAGATGTCCCCTCGGGCCACAGCTCACAGGACAGCGCAGCCCCCAGGGCTTCGAGGGGGGGGGAAGCACCCACGGGCCTGCTCCATCGCCGTGGGGCAGCCTGGCATCCGCCCTCCCCCGCTCTGCCCCTCCCCCACCGCCCCCTCCAGCCCTGTGGCCCCCGAGGACCCTGGAAGTCGCCTGGACACCAGGTCCCCCCGGCCCGCTGCGGCCTTCCCAGGACCAGCCCCATGTGGCCGCGCGGTTCTTCCCACACGGCCGGCTGGGCCGGGTCGCCGGCCTGTCAACAACCCAAGGCTGTCACCCTGTGCCCTGCCGGGTTCCCACCCTAGCCCGGCACCGGCTGTGGGGCGAGGCCAGCTCAGGGGGCGGGGCCGTCGAGAGACAGACAGGCAGAAAGACAGATGGAGACAGGGCGGGCCGGGAGACAGCCTCACTGTCACATCCCCGAGTCCCGTGCCCCTGGGGGTCCCCAGGGCTAAGCCATCTACCCAGGGCCTCTGCTGGGGCCGCTCCTCGGCCTGTGACTCGGTTTCCCCACAGATCTTTGCTCCCTGCCCTCTCTGCCTGACCTGGGAAGGCACAGAGGGTGCTGCCTGCTCTGCTTCTGGGACACCACAGCGACACCTGGTTCTGACCCGTGGGTGAGTCCCTCCCTCCCTCAGGAGACTTCACACTGACCCCCCAGGGGAGCTCTGCAGGGTCCCTCGGGGCCTGGACCCATCGCCCACTCTGCTGAGGCCGCGACCCCTGGGGTGTGGTGACAGCGGCCAGGTCTCCAAGTCCCCTGAAGGGGATGGGGTGCGGCTTTTACTCTGGTGGTCTAGCCTGGACAAGTGTGGTTCCCCTGGAAGCACATGGGTATCCTGGTTCCCTGTGTCTGGACCAGGCCGGTTCAAGATGCTCAGGTGGGCTGGAGCTGGGGTGACTCGGGGTGCGTGTGTGCGCGCACGCGTGTGCACGCGGGGACACACTGACTCGCTCCGAGCTCAGGCCCCGACTCCATTGCACACACCGGGACACTGAGGCCCAGGCGGGGCCTCCGCCCTGCATCACTAGGGATAATACCTGCACCCCGGGGCCTCGGCACAAACAGGAAGTGGCCCGGCCCTGTGGGAGGGAGGGGAACAGCCTGTGGTGAGCCCCGAGGGTCTCTGAGGGTGTGGGCATCCACACCAGGTGTCTGGGGTGCTGGCTGAGCCTTCCCAGAAGCCTCTCCGGGAGCAGATGGGGTCAAGGCGCTGCCTCCTCGGGCGCTGGACACCCAGGTGTGAGCCGAAAGCCACAGGGGCGCAAATTCATTGTAGGGGAAACCAAGGCTGCCTCCTTAGCGGTGGGGGTGGAGGCGCCAGGGCCCAGGCTGCCCTGGGGCCCCGTGGGGAAGGCCTGGGGGGATGGATGAGCCGGGCGGGGAGGAGGAGGAGGAGGGGCCTGGCGCTCAGAGCCCAGCCACACACCACATTCCTCGAGGCTGGATCGCAGCCACGGTGCCTGGGCCTCAAGGAACAGGGACCCGAGCCCCGGGGCCCACGTAACAAGGACGAGGCCCCATCGCCGACGGAACACTGCTGCCCGCCCCCCCAAAAGCAGGGACAGAGCTGAGGGGTGCAGAGCCACCCTCGGGGATTTCTGTCAGCCCCCCACCCCCACCCCAGGACTCAGGACCGGAGGATTCTAGGACCCCCCAGCACACTGGGGGTCGGGGTGGGAGCTCGGGAGAATTCTAGAACCCTAATCCAGGTGCTGGCGGCCTGTGCCTGTCATCCCAGCAGGAGCATGTGGTGAGTCCCAGGCTAGCCCAGTCTACACGGTGGTCAGGCCGACCGCAGCAAGGCTCCCGGGCCCTGGACTTCCCAGGCCCTGAGCTCCTGCCCTGAGGCTGTGGAATCTGATGAGACGCTGCTGACGCTGCTGAGCTGACGCTGCTGAGCGTCTCCCCGGACCACACAGGGGACCACACAGCCCGGGCGGGCGGCCAGCACCGGAGGCTGCCAGGCCCGGCCTGGGGTCTGGCCTGGGCAACTTGAGCCAACCATTATCACCTGAACCCCAGGGGAGGGAGCAAGTGACAGGGGGGAGACTGGAAACCGTCGTCCACCCTTGGCCGGCCTGCCCTGGGGCACAGTGGGTGTGAGGACCAGAGCCAGGCCGGGCCAAAGACTGCGGCGGTGACAGAGGAGGGGCAGCCGCCTCGGAGGGGGCGCGCTGGGGTCCCGGGGGGCCTGGCACAGAAACTCAAGGATGTGCCCAGTGCCTGGGAGCCAGGGCGACGCCGGCGAGGGGCTGCGGAGACCAGCCTGTCCCCTCCTCCATCGCTCTGAGCCTCAGTTTCTCCTCTGCGGGCCCAGGAAGGCCCATCCGGCCGGTGGTCTGGGGCGGTGGGGCAGGGGTTCATACCCTCTGCAGCAGCCTGGGCTGCACGAATTGAGCACCTACTGTGTGCCGGGAGGAGAGAGAGAGATCACTGTTCTCAGCATCCGCTGGCTTCACAGGGGGGCGGGGGAGCAGGCTCCGTGGGATCAAGGACAGGCGCATCCGGCACCCTGAGTGACCACCGCTAACACCCTAGAGCTCAGTGGGAGGGACGGGCCGGGGGGGGGGGGCGCCAGGGCTGGCGCTGCGGCTCAGGGGTGAGGGTGATTGCAGCCCAGCTGGAGTCCAGGAGTCCAGCCCCGGAGCCCCGCGTGGTAAGAGGAGAGAGCCGGGTCCTGCCGGCTGCCCTCTGACCTCCGCCTCCCTGGGCTGCGCCTGGCTCGCTCCCATGTGTAAGTGAATAATGGAAAGGAAATGAAGACAGCAGGCCAAGCACGGTTCACACCGGAAATCTGAGGCAGGGGGACCACTGTGAGTTGCTTGCCGGCCTGGGCTGTGCGGGAACACAGTGACCTTAGGCGCGTGCCCACCTGTCTCTGGCCTTGGTTTGGCATTGGTTTTGTTTTAATCTCTCTGAGTAGCTGAAACTCACAGCCATCCTCCTGCCTCAGGCTCCCCGGTGCGGCGAGGGATCTGAGTGTTGCACAGTCTCCCGTTAGACAGCCTGGGTCCTGTGATGTGGCCCCTGCGCCCCTCGCAGGAGTGGTCCCCGGGGATGCGTCCCCGACGGGCTGTGGTTATTTTTTTGTTCCCAAAATGGAACAAGAACTTCTGGGTTCGTTTCTTATTATAAAAGTGACGCGAGAAGTGGAGGACCGGTGAGGACCGGTGAGGACCGGTGAGGGCCGGTGAGGGCCGGTGAGGGCCGGTGAGGGCCGGTGAGGGCCGGTGAGGGCCGGTGAGGGCCGGTGAGGGCCGGTGAGGGCCGGTGAGGGCCGGTGAGGGCCGGTGTGGGCCGGTGTGGGCCGGTGAGGGCCGGTGAGGGCCGGTGAGGGCCGGTGAGGGCCGGTCCAGTGAGCGGGCGTCAGGACGGGTACCAAACCAGGCCGGAGGATGGAGGGGTGACGGATGGGGAAGCTGAGGCCACGCTGCGGATGCAGGGACCAGGACTCAAACCCAGGGCTGCAGGAGGGACGAGGATGTAGAGTGAAGAAAGGGCGTTTGCTCCTGGGGCATGGAGGGCTGTGTAGGAGTTCACCACAAGCCATGGGCCCCAGTGACAAGCCCCCGCTGTCTCTGCAGGTGAGCCCGATGGGGTGGTGACCCCCCCATCGCCGCCGGCTCGGGCGCCATGTGGGCCAACGGCAGCTCCTCGGGGCCGTGCTTCCGGCCGATGAACATCACGCTGCAGGAGCGGCACCTGATCGCGTCGCCCTGGTTCGCCGCGTCCTTCTGCGTGCTGGGCCTGGGCTCGAACCTGCTGGCGCTGAGCGTGCTGGCCGGGGCGCCGGCGCCGCGCTCCTCCTTCCTCACCCTGCTCTGCGGCCTGGTCCTCACCGACTTCCTGGGGCTGCTGGTCACCGGGGCCATCGTGGTGTCGCAGCACGCGGCGCTCTTCGCCTGGCAGGCCGCCGACCCCGGCTGCCGCCTCTGCCACTTCATGGGGGTGGCCATGGTGTTCTTCGGGCTCTGCCCGCTGCTGCTGGGCGCCGCCATGGCCTCGGAGCGCTTCGTGGGCATCACGCGGCCCTTCTGGCGCCCGTCGGCCACGTGGCGCCGCGCCTGGGCCACGGTGGCGCTGGTGTGGGCGCTGGCGCTGGCGCTGGGGCTGCTGCCGCTGCTGGGGCTCGGCCGCTACACCGTGCAGTACCCCGGCTCCTGGTGCTTCCTGACGCTCGGGCCGCGGCGCGGCGACGTGGCCTTCGGGCTGCTGTTCGCGCTGCTGGGCAGCGTGTCCGTGGGTCTGTCCTTCGTGCTCAACACCGTGAGCGTGGCCACGCTCTGCCGCGTCTACCACGGCCGCGAGGCCGCGCGCCAGCGCCCGCGGGACTGCGAGGTGGAGATGATGGTGCAGCTGGTGGGCATCATGGTGGTGGCCACCGTGTGCTGGATGCCGCTGCTGGTGAGTGTCGGCGCCAGAGCCACAGCGGGCCACGGCGGGCGGGCGGGAGGCCCAGGGTCCTCCGGGCTTCTCGGAGCTGCAGTGTCCCGGGGAAATGTTTCCGGGTCTGGGCAGGGCTGGTTCTGGAGTGGGACTTCGAAGGATGCACAGAAAATGCTGGGAAACCGTAGACAGCATGGGGGCCCTGGTGCCCGGCGGCCCCGGCGGACTGGTTGACATGGGCACAAGGCCTTGCTTTCTTCTCTCTCTTCCTTCAGCAGACATTGATTATGTGCCGACTGTGTACAGGCTTCCCCAACACAAGCAGATCCAGCTCTGGGCCTGGAGAGCTTGTGTGTGCCCCAGGCACTCAGACTCAGGCCAGCCTGGGCAACTGGGCCAGACTCTGTCCAAAATTAAAACCTGGTGGCGCCCACCTTTAATCCCAGCCCTCGGGAGGCAGAGGCAGGCGGGTCTCCGAGTTGAAGGCCCTTTGTGAGCCCTTTGTCTTGAAAAGTGAACAAAAGGAGGCTAGAGCCTGGCTCAGGGTGGATCGCTGCCTTGATTCCCAAGTTTGCTTTCTCTGCCTCAGTCCAGCTAGGGCATGAGCCAAAAGCCTGCTGCGCTCCTTCCCGGGCCCAGCAGCAGCAGCTCAGAGAGGTTGTCCACTCCCCCAAGGTCACACAGCACAACCCTCTGCTCCTGCAGGTCTTCATCGCACAGACCCTGCTGCAGACGCCACCTGTCATGAGCCCCTCCGGGCAGCTGTCGCGGGCCACGGAGCGCCAGCTGCTCATTTACCTGCGGGTGGCCACGTGGAACCAGATCCTGGACCCCTGGGTCTACATCCTGTTTCGCCGGTCGGTGCTTCGACGCCTGCACCCGCGGCTCAGTTCCCGGCACCGGGCTCTGTCCCTGCACCCACCCCCAGCCCAGGCCTCGCTCAACGGGCCCTGAAGGACTGTGTCACCCACGCCGCGTGCCCTCGGTGACAGCCACAGGCCCGTCCCATCCCAGGAGCCCGAGTGCGCTGTGGACCAAAGGACGGGAGCCATCGACACAGGGTTGACTCCTCCGAACCCCAAGATGATGCTGGGGACGTCCTCCCTGAACCTCAGGCTCCCCCCAGTCCGGGGGTGCTTGGCTCACATGTGAGAGGCTCCTTGTCTCAGGCCGACCTGAGAATCTGCAGCTGAGACCCGGAGCCCAGAGTGGGGCGTCCCCAACCTTGCCAGAGCCTGGATCCGGGACACCTGGCTCGAGGGTCCTCGACCTTGGGTGTTGGAAGCGTCCATGGGGTCCCCAAGCCAAGGCCGGAGTCACCAACCTCTCCAGTTGACTCCGGGCGTTTGCGAGCCTCCCTCCCCCACGGCTGCCCAAGGCACTCGCTCAATAAATGGTTGACCAGGCGGCTGATGGAGCGTGCGAGGTATACAGCAGGCGCTCAGCGCAGCATCGTGGACCCGTTCGCCCCCCCCTGCAGCCCCAGGCAAACCACTCCGAGTGAGGGCTCAGGGCTCCTTTATTCACTGCCGCGGTCCCCAGGGTGCTCCCCGCCCCCCACGCCTTCCCCGGTCGGTCGGATCCTCTTACTCGGGGGTTCTCAGCCGGGCTCCTGAAACTCAAGCCTCAGTTTCCACCGTCCTGCCCTCCTGCCGGGGTGAGGTCACCAGGCCAGTGGTGGCAACAGGTCACCAGAGCCCAGGGGATGAGACAGCTTACCCCTGGTGGGGGAAGGGCCCGGGGGCGGGGCTAGGGGTGACCCGGATGGTGTGGGGCTTCTGGGGTCCCGGCTGGGGCTTGGGTGAAAGGGCTGGCTTCTGGGGGGTGGGGGGGCCTTGTGACCTGGGGCCCGGGTGGGAGGCTGGGGGACCTGGCCCGGGGCAGGCTGTGGCCTGGCTGCCATCTGGAGGCCCAGGCCCGGGGAACTTGCTCGGAGCAGGCCTGGAGGCTCTTGGGGGCGGTGGGCTCGGAGACCGAGGTCCGGCCGGGGGGTCAGGCTGCGTTCTAGGCTCGAGGCCCGGGGTCTGTGGGTGGCGGGCGTCTCCGTCTCTAGAGCTGGACTGGCCGCTGGGGCTGGGGCCTGACTGGGCTCTGGCCCTGGGGGCAGGGCTAGCCTGGGCTTCGGCGCGTGCCGGAGCCGGAGGGATGGACTGGGTTCTAGAGGCCAAGAGGGTGCCGGAGCCGAGCGGCCGACCTGTGTCGAGCTGGGGGTCACGGCCGGCTCCAGCGGGCACCGGGGGCCGCTTTCGGGAGCCCTCGCCCGGTCCGCCCTCGGAACTGGACGGGGGTCTGGAGCCCGGCTCCTCGGCCGCTGGCCGTGGCCGAGACCCTGGCTGCCCGGCCTGACCCGCGTGGGCTCCGGAGCCGGGCCAGGCGTGGACGTCTGTCTGGGTCCCCGAGTCGGACTGTGTCCCGGAGCCTGCGTGCCTTCCTCCGGGTGAGGAGGGCTGGGTGCCCAGCGGCGTCCTGGAGCTGGGGGTCGCTTCGGAAGTGGGGGGCGTTTGGGAGTGGGGCCCCGGTGCCCCGGCCCTCGGCTGGGCCTCAGGGTCAGACTCGTCACTGAGGCCAGCTTGGGGTGCAGGGTGCGGGGATGCGCTGGGGGGCGGGGCTGGGGAGCGGGGCTGGGGTCTGAGTCTGGAGCCTGCGGCAGCGTGGCCTGCTGGGGGCAGCGGGACGAAGGTGGACGCGGCCCGGGGTCCTGAGCCGGCCGGTCCAGAGCCACTCCAAAGGCCTGCAACGGGCCGGGCCCCGGGGGTGACGGTCTCGGAGCTGGGGTGGCGCTCTGAGCCTGGCTGCGCCTCAATGTTGGTCTGGGTTCTGGAGTGTGTGTGCGGCGCAGGACCTGGCGGGGTTCTGGAGTGTGGCCGCGGGGCAGGACCTGGCGGGGTTCTGGAGTGTGGCCGCGGGGCAGGACCTGGCGGGGTTCTGGAGTGTGGCCGCAGGGCAGGACCTGGCGGGGTTCTGGAGTGTGTGTGCGGGGCAGGACCTGGCGGGGTT